CATCTGGGTGTCTTTGCACAAGCACTGCGTGCGTGTTGGAGGGTGGGGGGGGGATGCACCCTGCCCATTGCGGGGTGTGTCATGGCCTAGAGCAAGAGCCCACACACGTGGGGATGTTGCAATGAATCTTTATGTTAATAATCTAATCTCACGATCATTTATCTGTGTCGGTGATTGCAGCTTTCCCAGTATTTGCCACGCCTGTGGGTGCAAAAGGGGCCTCAGCAGCACACTAGTTTATGTTAATAATCTAATCTCACGATCATTTATCTGTGTCGGTGATTGCAGCTTTCCCAGTATTTGCCACGCCTGTGGGTGCAAAAGGGCCTTCAGCAGCACCCTTGCCCACCCAGGCTGTGCAGGCAGGTGAGACGGGGTGCATCTCCCGTGGGCGAAGGCAGGAGGTGGGTGTTTGCCTCCCTCCCGCGGGTGGGTGCAGCTCCAAGGGGTTTGGTACCACCAGCTGCAGCCTGACCAAAACCTGCGGAGATGCTACCCGCTGGCCTGGGTGAGATGAGCAGCCACCACCGTGGGATGCAACACAGATGTTGCACGGGTGATGGCAGCTCTCCAGGAGAGCCGTGTTAGCCTTATAATCATTACAGAGACATTTACTCTTCAATAATTGCAGTAATTAATCTTCAATAATTTAACTGCCACAAACACTTATCGTACAGTCTGTTGCACATAACTCCTGCATGACTGATGATGCTAGTTTACATTCTTATCCAGGTCGAAATCGAGAATGACGCAAGAATTACCTTTCAAAATGCTTCTCGCGTTGTCCCACCAGCCCGGGGGGTGGGAGGCTGCGGGGGCCACCAGCAGCAGGAGCAGCCCAAGGCCGCTGAGCCCTTCCTCCCCGGCCGCTGCAGGCGCTTGTCAAAGGCCTGAAGGTTTTGCTCTGCAGCCTGGGCAATGCTGCCGAGCCCTGACAAAGTGCCAGGGGTGGTTTGGGGGGGAGCACAGGGAAGGTTTGGCAATAGCTGGGCTATTTATGAAAGCCTGTTTCCTGGGGGGAGCCAGTTACCGATTCTGCCGTCACCGTCCCCAGAGATGCACAGAAAAAAACAATAGGAAAATTGTTAATTATGGGAAACAGCATTTCACTGCGTTTATAATTTTCAGGGTCATAGGAATCAACCTACTGATGGGCACACGTGGGAACGTGGGTGCTGGTGGAAATGGTGTCCTGTGCCCTGGGGTACAGGAGTGGGGATGTGGAACAAGACAAGCCACAGTAACCCCCAAGCATAGCCTTAAAGGTAAGTCCTCAAACACCTTTTCAGAATTTGGTGGTGGAAAAGACCCCGGGAGCCATCCTTACCTTGTGTCTTGTTGGACGCATCCCAGAACTGATTATCAAAGTCTTTAAACATAAGAAGAAGAAATGTCAAATACTGGCAGCGCATGTGAAGACTCACTTCTTGCAAGGAAAGGTGCAATCATTTCACAGTGACAGAAAGTGTCCCCCAGACCCTGGGCCTGGCAAATCTCTTACCCGTTTGTCTGACAGAAAATGTGGTTGAAAGCACAAAAATAAGGATGTGTCGAAGTTTGTAGCCAAGCAACGGAAAAGGAAGAACAGCGGTCGTGGTGGGTGAGGACAAAGGAGAGACTGGTTCTCTCTCCAGTGCGCTCAGGGACTAGTTTTCTCCCGTTTCCATTTTTGCAATATGTCGTTTGCTGCCTTCAGTGTAGCTTCCTCCTAAACAAATACCGCAGGTTCAGTCAGTGGCTTCCAGCGAAATGCCCTTTCCCCTCACTGCAGTCATCATTTATATAAAAATCCCATTCTCATTCTGGAGCATCGCAAATGCCCTGTGTTCAGTATGACACAGGCAGAGCATCTCTGGGGCAGTTAAACACACACCCAGAAGACTCCCTGCCTCGACCAAGAAATGTGGGATGCTGACGGCGCAAAGCTTAGGATGGCACCAGCACACCTCCTGTCCCTGGCTCAGCTCGCGTCTGGACCATCTGCAGTGCCACGCTCGGGCTCTAATGCCCGAGGCACTCTGCATTTCTTGGCATTCATCTCATTTACCCCCATCCTCACCTCCCTTCCTGCTGCCACACATCTCACCTTTGCGAAGCAGAACCGGATGAAATGGTTGTAGTTGTTCTTGTGGGGCCCGCAGTAGAAAGCGGAGAGCGGGATGGCGGCAAGTCCCTGGGAAGGAGAAACACGTGGAGCTGAGGTTGCTGCTCTCAGGCTGGCATGCAGCCTGCCGTGCCCTGGCATGGGTGAAGACGTCCACCTATTGCTCACAAGTCTCTCAGATGGGCTCGTAGATGCCCTTGGTGCCCTGTCTGCTCACTCTGCTTGAGCTCAGGCTGCTGGGGTTGAGGCCAGCTGCTGCCAGACACCCTGGGTACCCCCCGGCCATGAGCTGCCGGACCCGGCAGCGGTGGTGTGCTGCTGGTTCCCGTGAGCGCAGCCAGCAGGGAGAGCACAAACCCACCCGAGGCAAACGCGGCGGAAAGGACCAGAGGCGTTTACCTTGTTCTTGACCATCCACTTTGCAAATCTGGAGTCGTAGGGCTCATCGGAGTTGGGGACATCAGGGACGTCAGATTCTGCAGAAGAAGCACAGCAGCGTGGAGGTTGGGGCTGCTGCCGGGTGCCTCAGCCAAGCCCCAAACCCATGACCTCTGGGAGCTTGGATGGGGATCACGCTATTGTCCCTCCCTGCTTTGGTGGTGGTTTACGCAGTTTCCCATCCCTGCTAGCGGTACCGCTCTGAGCTGGTCCCCCTGTGCTCAGCCCTGCCTGAGCAAAACCACAGCTGCGTGACTCACTGAACTCGGAGATGTCTGCCACCAAGAAGTAGGTGCCTTCAGGGACGATGGGTTTCATCCCCACAGCATCCAGGCTCTGGACCAGCCAGTCTCTCTTCTGCTGCAGCTCCTTGGGCAGTTGGACGAAGTAGCTGTCTGGTTTCCCGTAGCGCTCGAGCTCCCTCTGGAAACCCTGAGCCACGGCCTCCTGCGAGGAGAGAGGAACCCGGTGGGAAGATGGTCAAGGCTTCCTTGAGAACCGGAGTCTCTGCTCCGATGCAATTCATAGGTGACTAGGGAGCAGGAGGTGATTTCTCACCGCACCAAGCCAAGCGCTCTGCCTCCAGCCCCTCCAAATGGCCCCTTGGATTTGTCAGTGCAAAATAAGGAATATACCCCAGGCAGGCTGGACTCTCCCCTTCCTCTCAGGCATGGGGCAACTGCAGGGAGAGGGGAAGGAGCCTCTCCAGGGCACCACCCATCACCCTGTCTGTGCCTTTCAGGTCAGCCATGGGCAGAAGGACCCTCTCTCACCCCTGCTTTGGGGGTTTGGGAATTGCAGGGCCAGCTGCAGGGAGCCGCCTTACCTGGGCAACCGTGGCGCAGTGGTAGACTGAGTTTTGGTGCACGGTACGGAGGTGCTGCAGCAGCCGGTTGGGTCCCACGGTCCAGCCCACCTGTGGCCAGGAGAGGAGGAGGAAGGTGGTAAGTCTCTGGGTACCTGTTCAGGCTCCCCTTTATTTGCCTGGGCTGGCTTCATTGGAAGCCTTCCTGGACATTAGGAATGTCCTTCCTGGACATTAGGAAAAACTACTTTACTGAAAGAGTGGTCAGGCCTTGGAACAGGCTGCCCAGGGAGGTGGTAGAGTCACCATCCCTGGAGGTATTTAAAAGACGTGTAGATGAGGTGCTTAGGGACATGGTTTAGTGGGCATGGTGGGGTTGGGTTAACGGTTGGACTTGATGATCTTAGAGGTCTTTTCCAACCTTAATGATTCTATGATTCTATGATTCTATGATTCATTGTATTTTCCAGACAGAGCTATCATAAAGCAGCTTTGGTACTTTGGTACTGACTCAAAGCTGTGTGTGTGGCGGCGGTGTCCCCAGTGCTGTGCTATGGCAATTGGACCCATGCCCTGGAGCAAAGGGACGGGGATAGGGTGACAACAAGGTGCCACACAGGGGAATTCACCTTCCATCCAGTGGCACTGAAGGTTTTCCCAGCACTCCCGATGATCACCGTGCGGTCCCACATCCCTTGCAAGCTGGCTGGCAACAAAACGAAAGAGAAACAATGACGGCAGAGCTCAGGGTGCTTAATTCTGGGCTGCATTAATGACACGGTGGGAGCTCTTTGCCCACTATAACCTGTGGTGGCCTCTTGTGTTCACAGCATCTCTTTCACGTGGATGAGCCTCAAAGCACATCCCAAGCAGGCAGCCAGGTTTCTCAAGAGCATCTCTTTGTAATTAAGTGTTTTCATACGTGTGCACCCAACCCCAGGGGTTCCCAGAGGTGCCAAGCACCTTCACCCTGCAACAAGGTGATTGCATGTTACTGCAACAGGAAGAACAGGCCTCTGAGCTCATGTTGAAATGAATGTCCCAAAGCTAGAGACACCCAGAAAACTGGGGTTTTACAAAGTATGGGAAAAAAAAATCAGTTTCAGTGGAACCAAAGGGCTCTTTGCTCTGGATCTCATGCTGTGAAGCCAGCTCTCTGTTTCCTCTGACTAGCTCTGGAAGTCAGGGTTCCAGTTTAAGTCCTGATTTGGAGGCTGAGACTGAAGTGCAGCAAAATACCTCTAATGGGGATACATGTCTGGTAGAGCTGTGCATGCAAGCAGCCAGGGGACCCCAGCTAAATCACCAGTTCCTCCCCTGAAGGTGCTGTACCCGGAGAAGACCCCCAGGCTCAGCCAAGCCATTCTCCGTACCGATGCGGATGTGCTCCTTCCCATCGTAGACCAGCCACTCGTACACTTCGTCGCTGATGCACAGGATGTCATGCTTGACACACAGGTCTGCAATGAGCTCCAGCTCCCCTCGGTTGAACACCTGCAGCAGGCAGGGAGTGGAGCAGAGATGCAGCAGGAGCATTTCTGGGCCCCTGCCTGTTCCTGCCTTTCTGTGAAGGCTGTGCACCCTGCGGGCACCATCTCCCAAGCCAGGGTGGGCAGGAGATGGCTGCGATGGTCTAGCCGGGCAAAGCCACTGCTGGCACAAACGACCAGGCTTAAAAACACCAGAAAAGTGCACGCAGCGTGCGGCACTCCTACAACATCTATTTCCCTTGTGTGCAAGGACGGTCGGGTCACTGCTGCACTGCAAATGTGGCTGGGTGAGCTGTAGCACCCCAACCGCTTTCTCTGGCCTTGCTGTGGCTGGCCCTGGCATTACCTTGCCCAGAGGGTTGTTGGGAGAGTTCAGGATGATGGCTTTTGTCCGTTTGCTGAATTTAGAAGCCAGTTCAGCCGGGTCCAGCTGCCAGTCTGCACTAGACATCAATTTTCCATCTTTTGGAGCTTTCTAGAGAGAACAGAGGGGAATCTCGGCTTGCTTTGCTACTGCTGCACTTTGCTTACCACTCACCTCTTCGCTCACTTGGCTATGACTCTTCCCTCCTCGATGGCTTTGCTCCAACGCACTCACCGGTCTCAGCGGGACAAACACGGGCGTCCCACCAGCCATTTTCACCATCGGCTCATAGCAGTCAAAGAAGGGCTCAATGATTATCACCTGGAAGAAAGGGATGTGTCAGCACCCTCCTGGCCCTGCTCAGACCTTCCCTGATGGGTGCAGCGAGCAATGGGAGGGACAGGAAATTTTAATCCCTGAATTACTGTAATGGAGAACCTGCATTGCCAGTGAGCAGTGTCAGGGAAGAACAACATCACTCAGGGCAAAAGGGTTATTTTGGTTTATGCAGAAATGAGACATTGCCCTGCAGCAGAGAGTTTTTTCCTTTGGAAGCTCAAATATTGGAGAACGGGGATAAAATCTTTTCTGCTTTGCAAAAGGTCTATGTAAATCTACCCCTGGCAGACCCACAGCCAGGAAGGGCTCTCCTGGGGAAAGGCTGCCTCTGCAACAAGCCCAAATCTGGGGTTACCTCATCGCCTTCATCAACGAAAGCCTGGAAGCAGCAGAAAAGGGCCTGGTACGCCCCCACAGTCACCATCACATCGGTCATAGGGTCCAGGTCTCGTCCAAGCAGCTTCCCAAAAAACTGGGCTAGGATCTTCACCAGAGGTGGGTGGCCCTGTGGGATGAAAGAAGGGTTGGGATTTGGGTTGCAGAAGCCTCCTAACCCAGGGATGAGCCCTTGGAAGGGGCCTGGGCAGCCAAGCGCCCTGTGACCGAACGTGTGGGGCATCTTCCAGCCCGGCTGCTTCAAACGCCCTGGTAAAGCGGGGTGTTACAGCCCTGGGCACGGGGGGCCTGGGCTGAGGCTGGGTGCATGTTTTGCCTCCTGTGGTTTGCCCTGTTTATTGCTGCCTGATGAGCCCCGAAGCGGCCAAGGCTAATGGGGAGCGAGGGGGGTATTGCTGAGGAGGGGCGTCTGTGCACGCACGAAGGCACGGGTGTACTGGTGCAGCATGTGGTTCTCCCCGCTGAGGGCTCCCACGAACGCCTCCTTCAGAAAGTCCGGTGGGGGAAAGTCGGGGAAGCCCTGGCCCAGGTTCACCGTGGAGTAGGTGGCAGCCAGTTTTACAAACTCCACCCTGGAGAGAAGAAAGGGAGAGAAAGCCAAGCATTTACACAGGGTCTGGGCAGCGCGCTGGCACCGGCTCCACTTGCCAGCATCCCTTTGGAAGTGAGCAAGGTTGGTGTCCCTCCTGTGGAGCCATCCCGCTGCTCACAGGTGGACAGGACAGGACCAAGCACAGGTCATTTCAGATCCGTTTCAATTAAAACAAGGATGAACCATGACTGCACTGGGGGGTGGTTTTAATTTGTTCTCAAAGGAAACAGCCGTTGTGCTGTCTGGGTGTGCGGTCACAGCTGAAGCCACACACCGCTTCTGATCAGACCAGACTGAGCAGGAGAGGTCTTGGAGGTTTTCAAGCTCATACCAGTTCTGCAAAATTTAGCAACTAGACACCGTGATGGCCTCTGCAGAGGGAAAGGCAAGCTGAACTCGGCGCTTGTCTCACCCAAGAGCCGACTCATCAGCAGTTTGTAGCTTGAAACCAGGCACAGCAGAGCTTTGGAGAAAGCCCACTTAAATATCTTCTTCAAGCACACAGTTTTCCAATGCCATACTGTGCCTGGCAGGCTGGGAATGCCATTTGCAGCATCCCTTCGACTGCCTCTCTGCAGTGCCCTAGGGTGGGCTTGAAGCAGATGCCAGGCTGCAGCCAGTGTGCTGCAACCGCTTGGCTCAGATTTGGGTGCTGCGGGGATCATTCGGGCGGATGGAGTACAATGCGCTACAAGGTGCTCCCGCCTGCCTTCCCGCAGGATGGTGTAGGACACCTGATAGGGCGTAAAGTGTGAGCAGCAGGTACAGAACTGAGCCAGGGTAAAGTCTCCCAGGACAAACTTGCCCTGATGCGCTTCCTGAACAAATGCAAAGCAGCCGAGGGAAACTGCTGCTCTGTGCTGTGTGGCTGCGGCGGTTTCTACCTGGCGTTAGGCTGCCTAAAACCACATCTACCACCGGGGTAAACCAGATAATCTCTTAACTCACCAGATATTCTTATCTATTCCCTCCAGCCTCCGAGCTTGCACTGGCCTTGACATTTTTGCCTGCAAAGAGAGAGAAAGAAAGTGAGTTTAAAGCTTTTACTAATGGCAATGGGCCCATGTGCAAAGGGGACGTGGCCTCCCCAGGTATGTTTTTCCCAAGAGAAGGTGTGCCCTTTAGTATTGCTTCATGGGTTGTTGCTGACCGACCTTAGAGCAGTAATGCTGTTGCAGTGGTTTCTGGAAAAAGTTTCACACACTTTTTGTGAAAGATCAAACAGACAAGAGCTGGCAGAGGAGGATGTTTCATTTACAAGTTTCAACAAGAATTGAGAAAACAGATGAACGAAAGAAGCGTGTGTAGACTCACTGGGGAGCTGCAATGCCTTAAACCTCATTTTCAGTTGGAATAAATCGTGGGGTCAAATGAGCTCAGCCAAGCCAATGACCCCAGACCTCAGGCTTTTGCCTTCCCTAGCCTCTCTTGTCCTCCATCGGAAGGACCTCCTTGTTCTCTACAGGCCACAAAATATCCCCTTTTCCTAGAAGAAAAAACTTTTTTAGTCCACGCTGCTCTAAGGAGCAGCAGAAGTAGTATTTACTCCTTTGTCCTGCTGGAGCCCTTGGTGAAGGGAGTTGCTCTAGATCCTAAACAAAACCCTGGTTTCTTCACCTAAAGTTCATGGCAAAACCAGGCAGCAGCTGGGTAGAGGCACGAGGGGAGCACAGCACAGGTCAGTCTGACGCATGGAGACACCAAGGTACCATTTGCCTGACTGGTATCTAATTTCCACGTGCATCATGGCTGGAGGGGGTGGGAAGAAGGACCGTAGGAAACATTGAGAGCAAAATCCTTCTTCCAGTTGGATACGCTCAGTGGGAGTGCATCAGATGTGCTTGATGGGGAATTTATCATGAGGATGATGAAAAGCGGCAGAGGCAGAATTTAATAACTCAATAGTGCGGGGAAAAGGTAACCAGACAGCGAAGGGACTGGAAACCGGAGACAAACGGTGCTCAATGCACCAAGAAAAGCCAGCGTGGGGAAGTGAGGAGGGCGTCCCTGAAGCAATGAGCCAAGAAAATGATTGTCACCACGGCAAATAAAACACATTTGCACAGGGACGAGGAGGGCACGTGGAAGCAGCTGAGATATGGAGACGCAGAGCTGGGATGTGAGGGGACAGGGTCTGTGCTCTGCCGTGCTGGCATGGTGGGGGGATAGCAGGTCAGCCCCCTCCCCAGGCTCGGCTGCAGCGGTAACTCCCCACTTACCTGCTCACCTCTGCCGTTCCTGGAGGGCTGCACCAGCATTTGAAAAGTGCCCCAACGATATTTTATGTTGAGGTCTTTGGATTTTAATACAGCTTCAGCCCTCACTAGGGATCTTTGCAAATAACTTGCTGAGGAGCCCGGTGTTTCAGAGGGCACCGGGTGGACTCTGCGCTTCCCCCGTGGTGCCGGGCAGGCAGCCAAGGGTGAGCAGAAGTCGCTGCCTCCCCGGGTCTAGGGGAGCCCCACTCCTCTCCCCCAGCCCCCTGCTTTGCTCTTTCTGCACAAGCTCATGGATATTACGGTCAGCAAGACCCTAGCTGATTTTTGTGGGAGTAGGAGGATTTGTGGCTTGGGAAGTAAAAGATAGCTGGAGGTGAAATATTAACAGCTCCAGCACTGTTCTCCTGCGGTGGGGCTGTTGCTGGCCGCAGTTCAGAGAATTTAACAGCATCGGCAAGTGTGATGGGGGTCAGTGGAAAGAAGGTGCTATAAGCCTAGAAATTCCCAGTTCTGAGGAAGGGCCTTGTCTGCTCCAGCCCTTTCAGGAAGCGAAATGACAAATACTTTTTTCTTTTGACGTCCTCCCCATCCCATCCCCAGCCTGCGTGATGTTGCCATGCACGGCTGCCCATCAGGCTGGAGAGCAGCACAGGCTTGGGGCCACACAGCCCCCAAATCTGTTTCAGCCTGTTCTGCTCCGCAAACCAAAAGATGTGTTTCTCCAGTTGCAATTTGCCTGGCAGCCAGACAGGATAGTTGAGTGCAAATGTAGAAGA